TCACTTGGGGAGCTTGAACAAGGTCTTCAAGCCTGGCTGCCACCTGGAGATTCTGGTGCCATCCATCTGGGGTGTGGCTGGGGCCTGGGGAGGTTGTAAGGCTCCTCCGGAGATTCTAACAGTCGGCTCAGTGGAAGACTACTAAACCAGAGGATTCCCAAAGTCCTCGCAAACCTAAAGGTCCCAGATGAGTTTGACTGCCCCTTTCTGATTTCTAGTGTGTGTGATATTACAACTAATGGTCAATAATTAGTTAAACTTTTCAGTGGTGCTTGTAAGAATCTCATCTAGCCTGAAGTATTAAATAGTAGAGCGTCTCTTTTGCCCTGTGTAGCGTATTGTATCACTTCATTCACGGGCTACATGTGAGTGATATCCTCTCCTACCTCCACTTCTTCCATGCAGAATGGCAAATACTCAGAATAGCAAACCACACAGGAGAGTGTTCTAGTTAACAATGCACTGGTCCCCCCTTACCCACGGGGGATATGTTCCAAGACCCCCCGTGGATGCCTGAAACCACAGATGGTACTGACCGCTGTATAAACTGTTTTTACCTATACATACGTATCTATGATAAAGTTTAATGTATAAATTAGGCACATTAAAAGATGAACCATAATAGCTAATCATTAAGTCAGCTTTAAGGCCATTATTAAGTAAAACATGGGTTACTTGAACACGAGCACTGCGATGCCTCTGACAGTCGATCTCATAACCCAGATGGCTACTCAGTGATTAACAGGCCGGTAGGTATACAGCGTGGAGACGCTGGAAAAAGGGGTGGTTCACGTCCCCGGCAGGGCAGAGCGGGACTGTGCTCAGAACGACATGCACTTTGAAACTTATGACTTGTTTATTTCTGGAATTTTCCATTGAATATTTTCGGACCACGGTTGATGTAGGTAACTAAAACCGCGGAAAGCGAGACTGCAGATAAGGGGGGACTAGTGTACCCTACTTAATATATACTTGATGAACATCTTTCACATTTACTATAATTTAAATTACATTCGCCCTGTGGGCCACGGTTCTTGTATCTCATGAGAAACCCAAATGTTGGCTGTGTGACCTTCTGGGAATTGATTTCATTACCTTTGCTTCCTGCTGGAGGACTACAAAACATTTTAAAATGAAGAAAGACTGAGCAAAAAATGGAGAAAAAAATAAAAATATTCTTGTGATTCAGAACTTTCTAAATTTTCCAGGCAAGAGGCAAAAACAGCTGTTTTCCTGTGAGTTTGCCTGAAGGTCAGAGTCAGGCTTAGGAGCTGATGTTATCCTCGGTGTCAGGCTTCAGACCCACTCCATCACTCAGAGACCCACCTTCTGCCTGCGTCTCAACCCTGACTTGCCCGAACCAGTTACTGCAGAGAGGAAATATTCCTGCTATAGAACACTTTTTTTCTTTGCCAAATCAGCATGATCAAATATTTCTAAAGCTAAACAAAACGACAGATTGGCTTGCAAGGATTATCCACGCCCTCCATCAATGAAAAAAAAACAAAACCCAAGCTGCTGCTGGGAGGGAGTGGGGAGAGGCTGTTTTGTGCTCAGAAAGATGCCCGAGGCAGCTGTAGATACCATTGTTTTCCTTCAGCTTTGGCTGGGCTGGGGTGTGCATTAGCTCATGTTCCAAATCTGTCACCAGAAGAATGTAGTGAGAATCTTGTTTCAATCCTTCTCTCTCGCTTCGCCCTCTCCTTAGCCAGAGCCCAGTGTCTGCACAGCCACTGTCGCCAAGACTTGAAAACAGCAGTTTTGACTAAAACCTGTCAGACTTTTCACATGAGTCATGAGAAGAAATGGAGACGCCTATCCCGCTAGCCCCAGACACACATTTCCAAGCCTTTTCCCGCACTCACCCCAAAGGAGTTGCTGCTGCGTTTTAGAACATATGCGGTAATCCTTTCTGTACCATCAACATGTCTCCACTGGAGCTGGAGACAGAAAGAGAGAGGGGGACAGACAGGATGAACTGGGGGCAGCTCTTGAATTGGCCCCTTGATTGCGTCCTTGAATCTGCAGTTCAGATTGGTCATCTCTGCCTTTTAAAAGCTCAAGCAGGTGCTTACCAGAGGGGAAGAGGGTGGGATGAGGACAAAAGGGGTAAAGGGGCAGATATGCATGGTGACGATAAAAACTGGACTATTGCTGGGGAACGCGATGCAGTCTATACAGAAGCTGAAATATGATAATGTACACCTGAAATTTACACGGCATTCTAAGCTGACGTGACTTCCATAATATAATTTAAGGGAAAAAAAAAGCTCAAGCAGGAATCCAGGGCTTTGGGGTAGCTTTCAGAGACCAGAGAGCCCTTCCTCTGTCCCGTCCGCACATGCACGGAGCCCACTGCTGCCCGTTTGTGTTCCTCATCTCTGGCTAAGCCTGCGTTTTGACCTCTCTGGACGTCAGTTTCCTCATCTGCGAGATGGGGATGGATCCCACCTTCATGCCAGCAGGATCACATGAAGCCACATTGACTAAAGCACTTTGTAAATTATAAAACACTTTACCATGTCCATTTCTGCGATTTGAAGATTAAATGAGATACTGAAAGCACTTTGTATTTAAAGACTGTACACGTGGAAAGTGACAGTGCTATTAATTTATGCACGTGAAGACTTGGGTACTTGGCACTAGGTAGGAACTTGCTTTCCATCTGTGAGAAGGTCCAAATGCAGGAGAGGATGGGGTGACCCCCTCTGGCTGGGTGCCCAGTGGGCTGCACCCCAATACCTCTTTAGCTGTGGCATCATTTCCCAAACCCCTAACCACTCTGTCGCTGATAACTTGCTGAAATGCTCTCACTGTGAACTCTGCCTGCAGAGGGAAAGGAATTTTCAGAAGACAAATTACAGTCGGGTGCACAGCAGCCGAGTCCACATGGCACAGCCGAGCTCTCCCGGAGGGGTTCTCATAAGGGGAAGGGGCATGTGGTGCAGCCTGTGTCCCCAGACATGAAACCCGCCGGCCCATCACACGCGACGGTAAACACAGGATGGGTGACGCTGCGCAAAGGAAGTTCTGGCCTGGTCCCCCAGCGCGGAGGGATGAGTCCGCAGGCTACACGCTGCAAAGGCGGGAAGGATGGCTGCTGTTTCACCAGTGGCCACATCCCGCGTGGAAGCAGGCCGGGCACAGGAGATGCCGGCGGGAGACAGCTTTGTGAAGTGGGTCACTTCATCAGCAAGCCAGGGCCGGTGAGGTGGTGAGGGCCACGGAAGGCAACGTGCCATCACGGAGAGCAAGAATTTGAAGAACGCGTTGTGTGACCCACGGGACGTGGAGCCAGCTCACTGGGGTGAAAATCAAGAGTAAGGATGAGCTCTTGACTTTCCCCCTATGCAGTCATATATATTTTTGTCTTGAAAAATGAGTTTACAAGTTTTGCCCACCCAAAAAAGTATTTTGTCCTGTTTTTACTGTTATTAGTTCTTTCCCCATCAAGTAACTGGTCAGTAAAACGAATGGGATTCCCTCTTTCCTACTCAACTGAATAGCTATTGCCCGTGTGTTCCCTATGTCACCATCTCTTGTAAATAAAAATGTCGCTGCTGTCAGGGCACCCTCAGTGTGCACGGTGCTGAAATCCACGTGCCCTTTCCATGCTGTGCCCAGCAAGCCATTGCTGCGGCGTGTGCCTCCCCCTCGGCACCCCGAGACCCCCTCCCCAGCAGAGCCGCGGACTTACGGCTTCCAGCTGGTCTGACTGCTGTCTAGGCTTTAACCCGCTTCCCGGAACACAACCCGCACCGGCCTCCAAGTGAATCTCGTCTCACTGCTTCCTGAGGCGGCCGCTCGGGCCTCTGTCTTCAGTCCTGGAACCAGAGGTGGCTGCTTTTAGGGTCCGGTCCCCCAGGATCCCAAATTCCAGGAAGGGGATCGATCCAGCTCGGACTTCACTGCCTGGTTTAGCAGATGTCGGGTAGCAGAGACGTACCTAAGGAGACGTAAGGACTCCTCCACCACTGGACCAGCTCCTCCTCCCCTCTCCCCTTAGTGTAGACTTCACCTTCTAGAAGCTTCTCAGCATCTTCTCAGGCGGGGCTGGGTAATCGGACAACCAAGCTTTCTAGAATTGGGTGTACATTAAGAATAACATGGCTTCTTGAATCTCCAAGGGTAGGTTTTGGAGTCAGTACATTTAAAAACATATTAAAAAACTATAGAATTTTAAACTATCTTTTAAAAAAAAAACTATAGAATTATAAACATATAGCTTAATATGTGTACAGTGTTAAATATTCTTAATAAAATTTGACACATTGTCCAAAATACCACATTGCTAATCTGGGAAGTTCCGTCCTGTCTCCTCCTTTTCCTTGGAGGGTTTGGGCTGGAGGAGGATCCCCGGGCACCGTGAGCTCCTGGGCGCCATCACAGAAGCAGGGAGGGCGGGACAGTGGGCATTTGCCATAATTGGGTTTTGATAACCGACATGGTTAGGGTTTAATGAAGGCAACCTCGTTTCTAAGGACCTGAGTCTAATGGGCAGGTCACGGGGCCCTCACGCATGAGTTCCCGTGGTCTAGAATCTTCCTGGAGGGCAGGTGGGAAGTGAGAAGTGCCCTGAGGTTCCCAACGGACATAGTTTGGGAACTTCAGGCTGGGCAGCTACATTCTTCATGGGAAGGTCTCAGGGCAGGGCAGGCGTTAACTGGTTTGCCTCTGACTACCGGCTCCCATCAGAACCTGCAGAGGACTATGGGACCATTTGTACCTTGTTCATACTTTTAAAGCAGTGTGAAATTTTTATAAAACATTGTTTTATAATACAGCTTTAGTATAAAATTACAGAAGCCCTCCTTTTTCACAGGTGACCTCTAGCTAAACCGATACTAACATGGCGGCTATCAAAAAGTTTAAGTATAACACAGAGATTAGACTCACAATCTTGGAGCTCTGTTTCGGCCTGGATCACCGTATTTGATAACTTTCAATGTGACCTTGCTTATCCAAAGTCCTACTTTTGTTTAAAACTTCAGTTTAGCAAATCAGTAATTGAGAACTTTGGAGATTTTTTTTTTTTTCCAATTTGGACACTGAGTTGAAATTCAACGTATTTCCACCACCCCTTTTCTAGCCCTAAAAAGAAGTGAGTAGAATGAAGTGTAATCTAGGCCTTGGCCATAAAAGAAAGATTTAGATAAATCACCGGAATTTGTTTAGACTTACAGTGTAATAGTCACACAGATTTTGCTTGAAAATAAACCAGGCTTTCTCTTGCAAGATGACACTTTACCTAGCGAAGCTCACTATGCATTTTTTAACACTGGTCCTTTATGTGTCCTAATTTGGATCACATTAGGTCTTGCAAAACCCCTTCCCTTTCCTGCATAACTATCAGAGATCCTGTAACTGGGGACCCCCTGACATTTAAATCTCTATCAGGGCGACCCCACCATTAACTGGAATAATCTCAGCAGCCAGAAACTGTGAACGGAACCTGGGCGGTTTAGATACAATTTTAAACAGGGAGGGAAATGTACATGTGTTCAGCTTTTGTCAGAGTTTATGCTCTAGACTCTACTCCTTGTCTGGTGAAATATTCAAGTGGCTTTGTTCTCTTATTTGAAGATATGTAATATGTTGAAAAATAGAGTATGTGTATTTGACACAAACACGTTAGCATTGCTTCCAAGAAGGGACGGAGCAGCTCCTAGAGCCGGTATAGAGGAGCAGAGGGGGGTCGTGCAGGCCAGACCCTCTGCCCTTCCCCTCTCCGAGCCCAGAGCTGTGGCTTTCCACACGTCGGGGTGGGTGAGACCCCTTCTCAGTGGAGCTTCTCGCAGCCAAGGCCAGTGTCCCCGGTTGGCGTGAGTGCTGTCTGCTGCCCCGGTGTATCCTGCAGCACCTAACATCCTGTAAGAGCTCACATTGGGAACTTTATTAGTTCTGACAATGCCAGTTTCAAAACAGATGGGGGATATGAGGAGTGAAAAATAGTGTTCTGCAGCTTTGGAATTTATAATTATTGTTTCATTGGATGTGAGATTCTGAATAAAGTGTCCACAGCATTGTAATGGTTATATTCAAAATATATTATTGTGGTACATTATTACATTAATTTATATGGAGATATATATATATATACCTATTACTTTTTTGTGAGGCTGCCTCGCTTTTGTAGCCATCAATATTTTAGTTTATAACATGGACAACTGAAAACAGCAAAGACCTTTTATTTAGCTGATCATAAAGCCTCGTTAGTTTGGATTCCACAGGAACCTACAGCCCACAGTCATTATATTCAACAGGTGCTTATTGAGGGCACGGGGTGGAGGCTCTGGCCTGCCTGGGGGAAGGGGCAGGTGAAAGGAGGGCGAGATGACAGACGGGGGGTTGGAGACGGAGACCAGCAATACAAAGTCACTAGCATTTCCAGAGAATTTGATGTTTGACTCATCACATATTTTTCAGGTACATTAAAATAAAAGGCACCTGGGCATGTTGGGCCTTCCATTATGCCTTTGTGTTAGTTGTTTATTCCTAGAACGGAATTTTCTGTCTCCTCACTCTCACTGTCACCCCAGCCCCAGAACAAGGCTTGGCCGATACGATATTCAGTGCACATTTGTTGAGTAAATGAAATAATTGCTAACATTTAAGTTCTTCCGTATCTCCGAGATGTTAAATCTGCTGTAAACAAAGCTGTCCAGACTTCAGGCTTTCCATTAAGAGAAGTGTTGGGACGGCCGGCTTTTGGAAAGTGCACCATTCCTTTCTGCCACTAGGGGGCGACGTAGTGCAGCTAAGGAATCAAGTTTTTAATGAATTGTTTTAAAGAAAAGTTAGTCCTGGAGCTAGTCCTCTTAGATATGGATAACTGTGACTAAGTTCAACCAGTACTGCAGGAGAAGGTTTAAAGCTCTATCAGCATATTCTGAGCTTAACACAGGGTAAGCACGTGTCCAGGTTAAAAATGTATTCACAAAAATAGCCTGATAATGTGCTTAAAAAATAAAGTATTATATAAATAGGTATCAAATGAAGATTTAAGCCTTAATCATTTTAAAATCACTTTATTCCACTCAATCAAATAGCATATGTGGTCTAATAGCCAAAAAGATGTAATGTACGTCTTAAAAAAAGGACATTCTTTCCTCTTCCGGACAAGAAAACGTCTGATGCAGATCCATCATTCTGCCTATGTAATTGGCACAGTTTTAATTTCAGGGGGAAATGCAGTGGTTTAGTTCTGCTAAATGGATGTTGACTAATACATACCTTCAAAACTGAGTGTCCATTGCTGGTTTAATATTATCAAGTCTGTGAATAGATCTCTTGTGCTGGAAACCTGTTGAACAACCTAGCTTAAGATAGAAATGCCACTGGGAGGGTAAGTCCGGTAATATCTTTATTGTTAAGGAGAGGGTCACAGGGACTGGAAGAGAGGGATTTTTTTACAACATTAAATTTAATTAGAATAAACTTAAGATTAGCTCCATAGTCATCGCTGATTATTTGAGAAATTAATTTATTTTTGTACTGTCTTCAGTTTGAAATTCCTAATATCCTGAGGTTTGGCCCAATAGGAACTATGAGACGGATCTGGGTCACCCTATAACATCACACGTTCCCTTCTGCAGCGGCCCCCTCATCTTCGGAGAATGGTGGACAGAGCTTGCTGGCAAGAGTTGGTAGCCCGTAGCTGCGTTGTCTCCATTTCTTTTCCTGGCCTAGTCTCTGGTGCTGCTTAGCAATGGAACAGCCGCAGGAGCTGGCAGTTGAAAGAGGGGAGAACAGTGCTTCTGTCTTTCTAACTAGCTGCTTGGGAGGAAGATAAACACAAAAGCCACCCAGTTCAGTGGCTTCATGGGGCCACAGACTTGTGAACTCCCTCCACTTTCTGAGGGGTAACAGGAGCTAGAGAAACTCGACACCCCTCCAGATTCTGGCCACACCTGTTGGCCCCCTCTGGTTCGTCTCCGACTTTGCCTAATTTAGAGGCGGTAAAGGCGAGCGCAAGCTGATTCCTCTAGAGTCAAGGTGGTGAGGACAAAGGCCTGTTGGGATGATGTGGGGGTGGATGTTACTTTTTTAGACTCTGCTTTCCAAGCCTGTTTTCCACAGAGCTAAAGAATAAGCTTTTGGTTTTAAGTATACCACATCGCTTGCTCCTTCTCTCTGCCATGAATATCTAGACAGGAATGTCTGGTAACCTCTACTGCAGAATCCCCGAGGGGCTGTATAGGTTAAACCCTGAATTAGTGAAAGCTAAAAATTGATCTGATATTTACATCCTCAACATATCAGCATTGTATGGGCCTCCGTTTTTCATAACTCTTGTTTCAGACCCTCTAATCTCCATTCCTCTGAGAAGCAAGGAATGGCTGCTATAAGTTAACTGTTGGGGCTCTGAGAAATTCTAAAGGAACGCTATGTTAACACGAAAAAAGTTAGCCCTGGACACTAGCCCAAAGGGAAGGTGAAATGATGAGGCTGTCAGATTGGTTTTCATTTACCATAATCACATTTTGGCTATAAATTTGCTTTTGCCCGTGAACGGAGAGCTGGGTGAATACCTCCTCAAGGTTGGCTGTTTCTCGCTCTCTGATCCTTCCTCTTCTCGCTCCAGGTCAGCATCGCCAGCCCACTGTTGAAACTTGAAATGCTGGTAGTGTTCAAACTCTGTTGGGACATATCGAATTTGGGTGAACCAGGGGGTGGAATACCTTCTGAATGACAAAGAAGACCGATGGCTAAAAGCTAAAGGAAATTTGCGCAATGATGAATGTGCTGCAGTTAATCACCACAGATGTATTCTTTTCCTTATATGTATAGAAGTCGTCCAAGGAGCTGAGGGCAGGGGCGAGTCTCCGAGCCCAGACCTTAATAGAATTAAAAATAATGGGTGTTTGTATTCAGGCAGGGTTTGGCCAACAGAACAGCTCAGCCTCCTTATTTGAAAATACAGAAGTTTGTTTTTTGCTGGCACATACTTATTTGCTGGAATGCTAAGGATTGTTTCTGCACCTGACCCAGTGACTCCCTTTTAAGTACCCAGACTTACAGTCTGTTTGGAGACGGTCGGCTGCTGTTTTTGAAGTCAGGGAGCCTCAGAGAGCCGGGATGCAGGCTTAATAAGTTTCCCCAAAGATTGACTGTGTGGGTTGTCTGATGGGGCTGGGGAGGGGGCGGGGGAGGCGGAGGTAAAGCAGTCTCCCTTGCAGGCCTAGCTCACTCCAGGCCCCAGCTGAAGCTGCTGTTCCCTTAACCCTGCAAGCTGGCCCTGTGTCTAGAGCCTGGCAGGCTCCGCAGACAAGTTTCTGTTATTATGTAAATGGACCAACAGTGCAGCCTTTTAAGAGTTTTTGGCAAAGGGTAACCCTTTGTCTGCCAAAAGGTAGGCTCTTGCATTGCTATCCAGCCCAGAGTTTGCACAGTAAACAGTGGTGACCTATAAGCCAGCCAGTCAACGTGCACATTGCCTTATTAGGCTGGCCGGCAGGCAGAGAAGGCTGGCGTCTGGGGACAGGCTGGCAGAGCCGGTGGCAGTGGGCTTTCGTTCTGTAAGGAGCCGGAGAGCCCAAACCCTGGAGACCTGGCCTGGGACTACTCAATTAATTCTAGCATGCTGCAAGGACGGGAGTGTGCGCTCTCCTTGGCAGATGTCCTGTATGGTATGGGTGGAAGACAGGAGGTGACTTCCCAAAGGACAGAGCGGCATCCTCATTTTCCTTGGGTTTCACCTACTGTTTACTTTGTACTGTCAAGTCCTGTGTCAGGACGACTTCTTCGGAGTGTGGACTTTGTCAGGAAACGTTCAATGGTCTCCTTTTAATCCGAGATGTTCTGGAGGCTCTTAGATCTTGATGGTGCTTTATGATAAAGTCTTTCCAGTGGTGAGGTCCTGTGTGCAGTAGGGAGGAAGAACGCCGGACAGCAAGGTGGTACAGAGGAAAGAACAGAGTCCTAGGAGCCAGGGGACGTGGTTCTAGGACTGCCACAAATGGGCTGAGTGACCTTGGACAAGTCACTTCCATTGCTCTCTATAAAGTGCCGGGTTAGACTGAATGACCTCTAAAATGACCTCTCCATTGTAAATTTCTCTTCTAAAATTACACTCATTAAATTCTCTCCTCTCCCTCTCTGTTCTCTTCAATAATAAGCTTTACTGAGTGTTCACGGTTAATAGCCACAGCTGAGCATCCAAAGGAAACACCTATCTGCGTGAACCTTCCAGGCTCAATCCATCTTTTTTCTCTTTTGCGTTTTTTTCAAAAACTTGATGCAGTAGCTAGAAACTAGAGAAGGTGGCACTTTTCTGTACCGCAATTTTTGTTCAGGCTTCTCAAGTTCTGGAAATTAAGCCGTTGTGGCTCATGAAGCAAAGCTGCACGTGAGACAAATGAGCAAATAGAGGCGGAGCCTGAGTGAATGATGTGGCCACCAGCACACAAAGAGCTTCAAGTTCTTGTCTCTTGTCTCAGCAGTTTCTTTGTCATTTCTGTACCTGATGCAGCACTGGACAGCCTACCGAGACACAGGAAGGAAAGGCAGCCCGTTCTAACTGCCCCATCACCATGCTTCTCTCCTCTCCCTCCAGCAGTCTTGTAGTCGCACAACTCGCTGGCCATGTGTGGGAACAAGGCCGGCCCCTACTGCTGGGGTGACATATGGGGGGGTGTGGACTTTCACTGCATGGGACAGCTCACTGCTGCTGGCTCTGTTTTGACCTTGTTATCTTCTTTTAATTGCCTTAACGTCTGCTTCATGTTTAGGGAAAGAGTACATTCACTTTTGCCCTCCTATTAAAGAAATCTATTTTTTTCTGTTTTAAATGTCCATTTCCATGTCTGTTGACTGCTGAGCTGATTGGCTTCCCAAGTCATGGGCTATGACTTTGAGTTACGTGTTCTTAACACATGAACCTTTGACCTGTACAAAAAGGGACTTGTTACCTTGGTGCTGAGCTACACAAGGACTTTAGAAGACTCCTGAAACTCGATGGCCAGGGGAAAATTATTGCACTTCAAATTTTAAAGAGAAAAAAATGAACTGTGTCGGGGACAGGAAGGAGCAGAGACATGTCTGTAGTGGGTACCTTTTCTTTATGCATCACAAAGATGTCAGGAGAAGGGAAAGGTGCTTCTTGTTAGAACACACACTCTGAGTCCCTGAATTAGAAGCCACAAAAGTCTACCGCATTGTAAATGCCAAGACTGTTGCCTGAATTTTTTTACATCCTAGTTATCTTGAAAGAAGTTAGAATTCTAGAGGGTAGGCCATTGATTTTTCCAATTTGATTTCAAAATATATAGCTTTCGTGATAAATGATTATTCGATTTTGAGGAATAGTCAATATTTTTGGAAAGTTAAAAAAATGTTTTGCCTTTTTGAGGGGAAGAAAATTGCTTAATCACTGACTCAAATGGATTATATTGTTTTAATCGGCTGCGTTTGATTATCCCTTAATTACTTCAGTAACTGGTGAGCTACAATGGAACAATAAGAAACATTTCACTCCAAATCAGTGTGAATGTAAAACATCATGTGATGATTTACATTTTTCTAGGACGTTGCAGTTTACACACTTATTCACAGGCATTGTCACTGTTAAAATGCTTCAGCTCATATCAGCAGGTGTTTTGAAAAGGAGGTAGGAGGTGCCAACTGTCGTCTGTTCTAGGAAGTAAGTCCTGGCAGAAATCCCGCAGGATTTTGTCAGTTCTGCTTGTGATCTTGGTTGGTCCAAAGCTCAAGGGAACTGTCTCTCATTATACCCAGGAAGCATTTCAACAAGCAGGGTAGAATCTGTCTTCAACTTCTTTGTCATAACCTTGCCATGCCTCTCAGTCTGTGAGCTCAGGATCTGCTTTCCTGGTGATAAATGCAGGTGGAAAAAGCCATCATGAACGTGTCAGATGTCATTGACAACTCCCCCTCCACCCCCCACCATCAACCAGCAAATGCCCTGGGAACTTGTGAGACTCTAGGTAAAGTCGTGGGTATCAGTTAACATGACCTCCTGGAGAACATTAGAGATGCTGAGAATGGCAGGTTGCTGAACTTTTCTTGGGTTTTCACACTGATTATTACTGTTGAGGTGGTCGTTTTTATTAAGACGTCATTCTGAGGACAAGGATGCCTAGAAATTATTTTATTCAAGTCTCTTTCCTTCAAATCATTCAAGTGTGGCTCTAGAACAGCTATGATCTATCATGTATCAACAGTCATTTTATATAATTTACTTGTCTGCCATCTGGATTTTTAGGTCATAAAAAATTCTCGTATCTGATGATTCAGCCTTTCCTTAGTTTCTGCTCATGTGAAAACCATCAAATAGTGAGGATTGAATGATAGGAGTTGGCAGAAGCCTTCTCCAACCTCTCTGGATAGCTGTAATCCTGTCAGCACCCTTCCATCTGAGGGCTTCCCCCTCACTGAGATGGGCCTGGGTCCTCGAGGCTCTAAAGACAGTGTTCTGCACCCTGTGATGTTCTAGGAAACAGCTTCAGATGTTATACAGTAAACACTTAAGTGTGTATTCGTCAAATCATTGTTTAAGGACTCTGTGTGTTGGTGCTTTGAGGAGGTCAGAAACGTTCTTGGTGAGCCAGCCCTGATGGCCTAGTGGGTCAAGTTTGGCACACTCTGCTTCGGTGGCCTGGGTCTGATTCGTGGTCATGGAACCACACCACTCATCTGACAGTAGCCATGCTGTGGCAGTGGCTCACATAGAAGAACTAGAAGGACTTACAACTGGAACATACAACTATGTACTGGGGCTTTGGGGAGGGGAAAAAGAAAATGTTCTTGGTGTCTCCCCAATCCGGAAGGAGTGGTGGGCAGATCAGCATCTGTCTCTGGTCCTGTGCCCCTCAGGAGCACCATGCCCTGGATGCCCAGCATGTGCCTGCATTTTGTGCTTCACCTTCAGTGTACATTTTTTTATTTGTGATAAAATATACATAACATAAAATTTACCGTTTTAACCATTTGTAAGTGTACAATTCAGTGGCATTAAGTACATTCACATTGTGCAACCATCATCACTATCCACCTCCAGAACTTTTCCATCTTTCCCATCTCAAACTGTGCCTGTTAAACAGTAGCCCCCATTCCCCCTTCTCCCCAGCTGCTGGTAACCACTGTTCTACTTTCTACCTCTGGGAATTTGAGCACTCTAGTCCCTCACTTATGTGGAATCATGTACTATCTGTCCTTTTGTGTCTGGCTCATTTTATTGAACACAGTGCCTTCCAGGTTCATCAGTGTTGTGGTATGTGTGAGAATTTCACTCTTTTTTAAGGCTTAATAATATTTCATCGTGTGTGTATTTTAGTGTACATTTTAGACATGGAATGACCTTTTTCTTTTTTTTTTTTCTTGCTCTGAGAAACTGTTGACCTGACAACTGTTGACTTTAAGCTCCATGGATTGTTTTCCCCAAGAATCGTAAGCTATAGATTCAAAATTGACCACAAGTTAAAATGATTAGAGATCATTTTCACTGTGAATGTTAATGCTGCTCGCTTGAACGTTTATTTTAAAGACGTTTATAAGTCTAGGGGGTTGCAATAAGCCTTTTCTTTAAAAAAAGGAATTCTCAAATATAGCAAGGCTGGCATGGTTCTTTCAACATATCTGATAAAGAAATATTTGTGGGTTATAATATTTCTTATTGTTGAAAGTACTTTTGCCTTTTCATCTCTACATACTTGGCCTGTTTTAAATTACCTTCCATAATCATATAACACAAGATTTTATTTGCAGACTTGTCCTAAATATTACCACTAAGCAAAATTCACAAAGCATTTCACAATGCACACAGGAGGAGAATTACACTAAAATAAGGAATCTGGAATATATGAATAACAGTATGCGATAAAAGGGAAATGAAAAGAACTAAATGGGTTTCCCACCGCTGGGATTACCTCATGTCATGCAGTTCTGCCCAGATTAAGAGTCTATACACATAAATAAAATCCACCAAAGAAATGAGAATACCATTTACAGCTGCTTCTAGCATACAAAATACTCCTTTACTAAGCTATAAAGATATATCCTTCACTTTGGAATTTCAGCCCCACCATCATCTTTAGAAGTTTATAGTGGATTTCATTAAAATCATTCTGTGGCACTTCTTAATTTTAGAAATGTACCAATAACTCGCAACAGTATGTATTCAGGCAACTGTTAGTCATAATTTCACACTTCCCTGTATTGCTGGTTTAAATTTCAGCTCATTTTCCTGTAGTCTGGGAGTGCTTCAGCTGCTATTCAGGAAGCACAATAAAGAAATGCAAGATGATGTCACAGGCCTCAGCAGGAGTGTGCCGGAGACCTTTATCTCTTCTCAATATGGAGATCCATGCATCAATTAAATCACGCGCCCCAGTTTTTAGAGTGCATCCACATACATTCTCTCATTTAGTCATGACCTCGTCTTCTTATTTATCTCTTTGATTTTGTTTTGGCTGACCAGGGCATGGTTGTTTCACTTTCAGAGATACATTTTAAGTGGTCAGTCTAGGCTTGAATATTTATCCTAGATTCACACCGTATCTCAGTTTTCTCATCTGCAGTTGGGAATAATAATAGGATCTCCCTGCAGGCTTTGAAGGGACTACAGGAGTTTAATGTCCCAGAGCACTTATTATTGTACCCACCCCATGGTGATAAGTCAATAAGAGTCCAGGTCTTATCCTGTTCTTTACATCATCACACCAGCTGTGGTAGAAAATGACTGTTGCCAATCGGGGTATTCAACTGTTTGTCTTTTCATTGGCTTTGTTTTCGTTTTCTCCTCCCTGCTGATGCCCCCCCAAAGCACAGCTGCCACTCGTGTTACAGGGGTGCGTGAGTGTTTTCAGCCAGAACAACTGACAGGAGGACCAGCCCCTCAATATAGCCTCCATGGAATCCTGAGCCACAGCTGTGAACTGCACTGCACATTCCCTGAGGGTTTAATACCTTCATCCTTTGTCATCTAACACCTTATCTTTTGACCTTGGCAATTTAGGAGGTGACCCTTCTTACCTGGACTGTTACCGACATTGTC